TGTCATTATGACTATTTATTTTTTTTAGAGTTCTTTTAGGATTTGTGGTCTCCCTATATATATATATATATATATATATATATATATATATGTTATTTATTTTGGGTAGACTTTGATTATTGATTATTGATATTAAATCTTCTTTCTAAAATTCTCTCTATTCTCATATCTTTTTTCTTATTTTTTCTTCCCTTTTCATTTCTAATACGATCTACATCAATAGTCTTCTCGCATAGTGGAAGGCCACCGGAGGAGATACAATTAGCTGTGACTAACAAAATATTCCTTGCTTGGTGGTTGAATTTCAAGCTGATTGGTAGCTGTCCACGTTTCACCAGGTGTTGGGGACCACAAGTTCAGCCAATCAATTTTCAAATTACGGTATTTTTAATTTTCTCATATTACGATCTCAAAGAAATAAATAATGTTACGATATAAAATGAAATGAGGTTGAAATTTACAACTGATGATGCACAAAAATGATTTTGCACACCACCTGTCAAGTGTAGATAATAAATGCAATGAAATCAATGAAAAAATTAAGAAGACACAATCTATAGTGGTTCGGTCAATTCGACCTACGTCCACTCTTCAATGGCTTCAGTTGTCGGGTATTTTATTGATTCAAAGGTATGGAGAATGGAGATACAAGCTTTGAGAGAGAGAATGGAGAATCAAAGAAAAATAGTAATCTCCGGTAGTCGGTTCGTCTTCTGTAAGTCTCTGGTTGGGCGTGATCTCTTTCTCTACCATATTGGAGCTATTTTATAGCAGCTAAGAGATCATTCTTGTGGAGATCATGACATATCCTCAAGGCTTCTTTATCGCAGCTGAGAGATTATCCTTGGTGGAGATCACGACTTATCCTCAACAGAAGGAGGAGGTTGGGGAGCTCTTCATGAAACGTGGTCAAAGATTGGACCGTTTCTTTCGATGGTACAGATAAGCTTCCCGTGCTCTCCTCTTGGTGACGTGCTAAGNTTTTTTTTTATCATTGTTGTGGTAATTATTTTTATCATTTTTTCCGATACCATAATAGTGATAAAAACACCCGCAACAATGATAAATATATCGACAAATATGGTAAAAATGGGTATAGTAGACAACTCCAAAATTCGAAGTAGAAACAATAATGACTATCACCAACATTTCAGAGGGGCAAGCAAGAAACATTAAACAACACAAACGCGCACCCACACACACATCCCATCATCGACCAATGTCGGTAACGTTTAAACAGGCTAAAAAAAACATCGTTTGAAGGGGGAAGCAATATCTGGGGGAAAAACTGAAATCTACGCATACGATGTAACAACACACAACAATTTGGTTGGCGTAATAAGAACCCTAGAAATAAGAATCTATGAATAAACATCTGCGCTATCAAACCTTAAGTTTTTTCTGAAATAGAAAACTCTAAAACCAATTCCTCCAGCTAGTGTTTTGGTTGTCTTCCATTATGATTCATCTCCACTCCAGATACACCAATCTAAAATAGCAAGGCCCTGCAAAAATCAAATAGAAGTACAGTCCGATGATAGAGTAATAGCAGCGCTAGTAACATTATTATGGTAGTAGCAGAGGGCGGGCTCTGCCGCAACGGTAAGATTGCTCCATTGTGAGCTAAAAGTCACGAGTTTGAGTTGCGAAAATAGTTTCTCTACTTGTAGGGTAAGGATGCATACATTTAACCCTCCCCAGACCCCGCAATGGTGAAAGTCTCGTATATTGAGTATGCCCTTTTAGCTGTTGACCTCTTGTTGTTTTCTATAGAATTTTAAAATAAATTGAAGTGGGAGTTGAATATTACCACGATTCATTGGAGTTCAGTCATTGCTTGGGAATGTAGTATGGATACCCGCCGGTTCCAGCATGTGTAGGTGAAGCTCCAAGGGGATCTTTCTTTACAGCATATTGGGGATATGAAATATGAGGTTGGGTCGAGTATTGAGAAGCCGCTGGCGGCGGAATTGGATATGCAGTGTTAGAGTATGCTCCCATAGCCTGAGGATAAACATACCCAACAGGGGTGGCGTTGGTATGTGATAATCCAGGCTGTGGGTACCCAGCTGCCAGAGGCATGGGTGCGGGAACCATTGCTGCAGGTAACTGTGCCTGCACCACTTTGCTCTTGTGGTTATCAGCCAGCTTCACAGATATGTTCCTGCCCTGCAATCATTATTACAAGAAAAAAAGGATCACACAATTGCTTCATGCATTCGTAAAGAAGACAATTAGAATCTCTGTTAATGCAATCAGTATCAAATATCAATACAAATCCAATTGACAAGGATCATTATCTGGTAAAAGTACTTTTAATGCAATTTATTAAATAATTCACCAAACAAAACTTCAACTACAATGGTCTACAAATGCACACCCAACGATCACCTAATCCTACACCTATGTGGAAGCCTGAAAGAGGGTGAAATGGGGTGTTTTCTCTGGCATCTTTCTCTTTGTTTCTGTCGAGTGTCATAACTTCTCTAATGTTCGACTAATTCCATCCCACAAGAAGTGTGCACCAAGCAAGCCCAAAGAGAAGTCTGTTCAGGCAATCACAATGGGAAGACCCGAAATCAGGACTTCCACCTTGTGGTTTGGCATCTTCCATCCACTCATACTGACATCTCTTTTTTCTTTTTGCCATTTCATTTACTCTCTCTTCTATAATACTTACACATAAGCCAAAGTAGCACATGTTTGCAGCACAATTGTCTATCATACTATAGTTGGACTGNCATACTGACATCTCTTTTTTCTTTTTGCCATTTCATTTACTCTCTCTTCTATAATATTTACACATAAGCCAAAGTAGCACATGTTTGCAGCACAATTGTCTATCATACTATAGTTGGACTGATATAAGGGCTGCAAAGTAAAACTAGCGACATGACTGTGATCCCAAAAAATGTATCAGCACAATCATATTTTGGCTATACAGTTGATGTAATTTTCAGAATGGATATGTATCCATCAATACTTTTCTTGGTTATGCAAGTCAATTATTATTTTATGTCAACTTAAATTTGTAAATTTAGATATGTCCAACATGTATAGCTAGTCTAATGTTTCCGGAAGCAGGCACATGTGGCTATAGAGAAGAAGCTCATGCATTACAAATAGATGAAAGGCCATTCGTTACTTACTCCAAGGATTTTTTGTGGATCTGCTATAGCCTTCTTTGCAGCCTCCACCGTCTTGTAAGTGATAAAGCCAAAACCACTTCATCAAAAAATGCAAAGGACATTAACTCTAAGCACGTGATCGCCCAATGAATCACACCAATGACAATACAGTAGCAATATTCATATATTCTTGTTATTATCCTATATGTCATTAATGTCTTCTTTATCACCAATATAGAAACTGTGAATGATTTTTTACCGTGATTTGTTTGTGTCTTTGTCATATGCAACTGAACCCTCTTCTATCTCACCATGCCTTCCGAAAAAGATGAGCAGCATCTCACTTGTTGTTTCTGGCGATATGCCCCCAATGTAAAGCTTCCTCTGGGTTAGATCAGGTGTGGCACTCACATTGCTCAAGCCCTCGGAAGCTAGGCTACAAGCAGCCATTCGACCCTGAAACAAATAGAGTAAAGCAACAGACTAATTAGAGGGAGATAGGGTGGACTTAATACATATTGTTGACAGAAGACAATAACACTCGGTTGGCAATTACATTTCTCTCTCTCTCTCACACACACACACACATGCGTGCGCACACAGTATGATCTCACGTTTATAAAATAAGATCCAAGTTGTCATCCATCACCAAAACCAATCAAAGACACCAGTGCATTTGCAAACCATAAATACTATATTTCATTTAACATATAACAGGATGCAGCCCATGAACCCACCCACACTATGAAGCACAAACAGTCTTAAGAAACTGACGTATCCATGTTGGACAGAGACACTTATCGAACACTCTTAGACACGCGTCCGATACTCTTTTACCCGTATCCATAGTTAAACGATAAAATTTAAATTTTGGAAGCGTGTCTGATACTTCTTTTGTGACTTTGTAACGTGTCTTACATTTCTTTAGGACACATTTGTTAGTAAACAATAAACATGTGATTAACAAAGCTTGAAAATTTTACTAAAATTAACCAAGTACTATGAAACTCGGAAGAACATATAATTACCAAGACTAGACATGTTAAAGTTGTACTAATATATATATAAGTAAAAGATGCACATAAGTTTTAAAAAACAGGATTTGAAAAAATGAAAAAAATTATTTAAATTATATATGATGAGTACCCGTGGTCTAGATAAAAATTGATGATTACTGACTATTATAATGTTTTAGTCAAAATATTCAAACTAGATAACTAAACATAACATTCAATTTTCATAAAGTACTACATTTTTTATGAATAATATATCATTATCACTGTATTTGTAATAATAATTATATATATAACGATAGTGTGTCCCTAACATGCCCATGTCCTACCCTTTTTGAAGAAATGACGTGTCTGCTTGGTCATATTTGTGTTGTGTCTGCGTGTCCTTATTCGTGTCCATGTTCGTGCCCGTGCTTTGTAGTGACCCACACAAACAGTCCAAATTCATCCATCAGGGCAAGAAGACCAGAAGGAAAAACACTTCCATACATCAATAGAAAGTAGTGAATTCATGGGTGTGGAATTGAAAGAAAAATAATGCCTACATCAATCAATTTTCCAGGTGCTCTCAAAGCTCTCTGAGCGGACTGCATATCTTTGTAAGTGATGAATCCATAGCCACGTGATTTTCCTGATGCTTTGTCAGTGATCACAGCTCCTTCTTCGATTTCACCATGCACTTCAAATGCCTGAATGAAAACATATCCTTAGAGAGGTTGAATTGTGATGGCTGAGATTCATCTCATGTAGGACATCACTGACACAACACAAAATACAATCAGCAGTCAGCAATGCACTTACAGCATACAAAGCTTCTGAAGTGGTATTCCAAGCTAAGCCGCGGACAAAAAGCTTTCGGTGGGCTGGATCTGCGCTTGCAACATTTTTAATTTCTTCAGCAATAGAAGGATATTGAGACCCCCTTCACGCCACAACATGCAACAAGCACACATGCACAGTGTCAATTCACACAACACACGATCAGGAGGAACTTTGTATGCCCCCCACTTGGCCCAAGCACAACAGTCTCACAAGCAACACGAACTAGCATACAGACATGCAAGAACATATACACGAAAATGGGCATGCACAAATACATACACATGAAAACATGCAAACACAAGCAAATGGACCTCAGACACATGCACATGCATTGACACACGCGCGGGTGTCAATAGAATATTTTAAGGCACATGGAGTGTTTAAAATGCTCGAGGCTGATGCCTTTGACATGTGGCTATGGAAAGAAAGCTTAGACCTTTAGAAAGTCAAGCCCATATACTGCTAGTGCATGTCTTAGACATCTCATGCTTTTGAGCTTGCCTCATCCGAAATGAAGATTCTCTAGAAAAATCTACCAGAAAATGCTAATATTCTAGCAATTTTTCTTTGGAATACACATTTCAAATTGTGGTATATCATTTTAACAATGCCATCTGTAATAATAAAAAAATTGTTCCAAATTCTTCCTTTAATACTCTTTTTCATAAGTTGAAGCATTGAAAATCATTCTTTTAGTAACATACACCTAATCACGTGGCAATATAAGCACACGTCTAATTCAATCTTAACAAATAAAAGAGAAAAAAATGTGGACTAAAATCTAATTATGGTTAGAAACTATGAAAGTGAAATTGTGATGTAAATCCCAGCTAGCTCAAGGTATTTTGTACCCATGACAAGCAAAACCTCCTAGTCCCTCAACCACCGGTGCACGCGTGGGCTCCCCATTTAGGTAGCTTCCCGAATTTCCTGCAGTATGCAAGACTCAGATGTTGTTTCAGTCGTTGTCCCTTTTTAATGCATCTTCAGCTCATGTGACAAGCCAAGGCCCCAAAAAGGTCACTAATGAAATACCGGCTCGAGGAAACCTTTGTATGCCTCCGTTATCTTTTGGGAGGCCCACGCCCCATAGAAATTGTCCACCTGAGACTGTCTCTTGGCCCGTAGGTCTTGACATAAGGTAAGAATTCTAACTCTTCCAAAGTGGGATCTCAGGCCCCCCGAAAGAAGGCCTTCTTCTATGATTCAATTCAACATTTTGTTCGTTCAAGTTTGATTGCGTCATAATTCTATAATTCGGAGTAGGTTTATCATTGGATGAACTGCATTACTGATATTGATCCCAAAAAAGAAACGGTAGGTACAGTTAGGCTGTGAAAAACCAACCATTGCACCGTAAAAATTGGATAGGTTCGATCTATGGTCATTGGAGCCTCCTAAAAAGACAATTTATTAACTCAACCTCATTTTGTTTATTCCAAGAATTTAGGATCAATATTGCATCAACGGAATGTATATAGTCTGCACTTACATAGCAATACTTCGCTCATTGTTTGTTGGAACAACAAATGTAAACAATTACCGGAACCTAATGCAACATATAATGCTAGAATTTCCTCCTTGGCCAATTTCTACAATAATCTTAACTTTTCTTTTTCTCAAAAGCAATATGTATCATATTTACGACAAAATTCTGCAAGGCGCAAAAGTGATGTGAAAAGTTAAGACCTCCCAACTTTTAAGTAAAAGATTGAATAAGTGAATAGAGTACAACTGTAAAAGATAGAATCTTTAAGGCAGACATAGCATAATGTATGTTTTTCACTAATGAGCACCAAGGGATCATAATGTGAATGCTAATTTCCCAGAATTGTGTTTCCTCCTTGTTTGTCACCTGAAGAAATTTCACCATCTAAGTGACACATATCAGAGGTTTTGCTGCCAAGGCAAAGCTATTCTTGGCATGGTATCGCTGGACCACCCTTTTAAAAAGTTATATATGTTAAACAGTAGTCAGAGACATTTTGTGTGCCCATACTCCATCACTTTTGTAAAGACTCATACCTAAATGTCTATTATTGTTTCGGACTTGCCCAAATAAGATTTGGATATCTTAGGGGTAATTTTGTGATTCATTCAGAAAATTAGGGAATCCATTTGATAGTGTATAGATATTAGGTTTATGGTGTAGTATATATAAAGGTCATTTTTTAAGTATATAACATAAAATGAAAAATCCTTTGGGCCTAAAAAACACGATATATATCTACGTGAAAATAAATTATTCTCACAAAAAAAAAAAAATCGATCAAGGGACCAAAAGAGTTAAGAGAGATTCAGAGAGAGAGAGAGAGAAAGACACGACAGGCAATTGTGCAACCCTTCGGCGAGTTGTGGTTGCACTTTTTTGAGGTTCGATNAATCGATCAAGGGACCAAAAGAGTTAAGAGAGATTCAGAGAGAGAGAGAGAGAAAGACACGACAGGCAATTGTGCAACCCTTCGGCGAGTTGTGGTTGCACTTTTTTGAGGTTGAGTTGGTTCAATAAACTATGCTCTTGTAGTCATGATTTTTTTCCCTTGTTGAACTTGTTTCTTGCTTCAATAGTGTTTGTGTGAGCATATGAGCTCTGAATGGCATGTAATTGCATGTTTAGTGCTTATATTGGTGCATTAGGTCTTTCAGAGATTGACCTTGATTTGCATATTTATAGTTTTTCTTTGGTTTTGTACTCTTAATGTGCATGTGATATTAGTTGCAATTGATTTGCAGTTAACCTACAATTCAGATTTATGTAAATAAATTTAGATGTGCACTATTACTGTAGTTAAAGGGTCCACCAGAAATAAATTCCTGACTACGCCCATTGCCGCTAAATGTTCCAAGAAAGAACCTAAAAGGCCATGTTGCCCTGGGCATAAACTTACTTGGCTATGCACTAATTTTTATCAGAAGTTACAAAACAACAAAATTCAGAAACCAAGGATTCAAAATCAGTCTAAAATCTTCAAGGTTTGTGTATTCAATTCTGTCAAACTAGTGTTGAACAAAGTTGCTCAGAGGCAATCCATACAAAGCCCTAATGAAACAAGCAAGAATTCAAACCCCCCCCCCCCCCAAGAAATCTGTTCAAGACTAAGGGTGTGTTTGTTAACTCAAATTCAGCACTTAAATTGAATGTATTCAGCACTTATTAATTAAGCTCGTTTGATAACCAAAATTTAAAATCTCTTAATATGTTAAATGCTCATTCAAAATAGGCTACAATATTAAATAGGAGATCCCTTACTTAATTTTGAAAGTCGAAAGCGCTCAGCAAAATTATTTTTAATAATATTTACAATATGACAATTATACCGTAAAATATTTTACAATCATATTAAAACTCTAATTAGTCTTCTCTTCAAAACCCCTAACTTATATATTCTCCTTATCGATCTCTTTTTTAACAAAAATATACACAATTACACACATACATATGCACTGCACACACACACGGCGCACACCCATATTGTTAATGAAATCTAATTTATTATATTTTTTCAATATTATTTAATTATTTATTAGTCATTGTTCTTTTTTTTATCAGATATTATTGTTCAATTATTATGTTATTCAATTTATTATTATTCACTTATTGTGTTATTCAGATGATATTTATTTAATTATTTTGATCAAACATTTGTTAAATATAGACTATAATATAATAATAGTGATTATGATTTATATTATGACATATTTTATAAATATTTTCAAATTAAAGAGTGGAAGGGTAAAAATAAAAATTAATTTATTTTCAGACGTCAACTCTGTTTAGTTATCAAATAGTTTAGTTCAATTCAGTATTTAAATTTAAGTGAATATCAAACAGTCCATAAATTCAACATTCAGACTTCAGTTTTATCAAACACCACCTAAATTGGAATCTGAACTAAGGATCAAATTTTGTTTCGGTGCATAGTTTTAGTGTGTGTCAAAACAAAAATGTTTCGCTAATGTTTCAAGAAACAAGACGGAAATAAAAAAAATTAAAAATTTAATTCCGAATTTGAGGTCAAAACACACCAAAAAGACATAAGAGTTTTGATATTCAATGATTCATTTCAATTCCAAAACGGATTTTAGATATTTTGACGGTTTCGAAACGAAATTTAACTCCTCGATCTGAACTTCTTTTTAAATATTGAGTATTAACTGTTCGACTCAATTACTGAGAGAGAATTTGTGTATCTTCCAAAACCTATCCAGAAATGTGTCAATTACAGACACACATCAAAAGTTCGATGCAAACCCAGAAATCTGTTATGATAATATAATTGAAAACGAGATTTGAAACTTGAAACATACAGCTTAGCAAGGAGATCCACCAATTGGGCTTTAGCAAGTGGGTCCAGTAGCGAACGCAACTGTTCTACATCCTCTGAAGGACTCGCATGTAATTGACCGTTGCCTGTTTCTTCAAGCTTCCTCTTCTTTAGGTCCTCCATCCTCTCTCTCTCTCTCTCTCTCTCTGCGCGGCTTTTTTTTAGGGCAAGTATGTGTGCTTCTTTAGCCCTGTTGAGCATTAGGAACGAAACCATTAGGAAATATTTTTAAAATATAATGAAAACGAATTAAAAATTTAAGAATTATTTTTAAGATATTCTAAAATATTGGTCAAAATATATTGATTTTTTTTTTTTTAACGTCGAGGGGTATTCGAATTAATTTACGCGTATTTCAAATAATCTTTTTCTCGATCTGGTTAAAAAAGGTTATAATATTAGTAGAAACATGTCTAAATAGCTCTATTCGTTCCGACCCACTTCAAAATATTAAAATTTTAAATTTAATAACTGATTCGTTTTTGTCTCTTTTGAAAACATAAAAGTTTTGACCGTTTTGAAACAAAATGTTAATCCCAGATATTATGGTACTATAAAGTATTTTTAAGCATGATATTTAAAAAATATAGTATAATAATAAATTTTATTTAACCTTGTTGATCTTAAAAAAATTAAAATAAAACAAAATTAGAAAATATGTGTGTCTTTCGTTCAAAAGCCTGTGCTCATACTACCCCAGTTTTTTTTTTTTACCGATCTTCTTGAAATAGTTTTTCTTGTTTTCTCGAGTCTATTGGTATAAAAAAAAAATATAGTTTTTTGATGCTCTAGATGGACAAGTGTCCCATAGGCTGAGGACCAGTTAATCCTCTTAAAAATGCCAATGGGTGTCTTTTTGGACAGAACTTGCTTGTAAACAAGTCTATAAATGGTTATTCAAGGTTTGCTAAAAAAAATAATGATAATCTCCTAATGATGTTTAAGCTTTTATTCATTTAATCTTAAATTTGTTTGTAATGAAACGAATCACGAGCTAAACCCTGAGCAACTCAAAATCTTTTGTGCCACGTAACTTGATTCTAATTACTCAAACTTTGTTCGTTTATTACTACAATCTCATTCATTTTTATTTTCGAAACTTTAAAGAATAACTAAAAGGAAGGATAATGATTAGTTATTCGTCAAAAAAACAGTGTCTTGGAGNGCCTGTTTCTTCAAGCTTCCTCTTCTTTAGGTCCTCCATCCTCTCTCTCTCTCTCTCTCTCTCTCTGTGCGCGGCTTTTTTTTAGGGCAAGTATGTGTGCTTCTTTAGCCCGGTTGAGCATTAGGAACGAAACCATTAGGAAATATTTTTAAAATATAATAAAAACGAATTAAAAATTTAAGAATTATTTTTAAGATATTCTAAAATATTGGTCAAAATATATTGATTTCTTTTTTTAACGTCGAGGGATATTCGAATCAATTTACGCGTATTTTAAATAATCTTTTTCTCGATCTGGTTAAAAAAGGTTATAATATTAGTAGAAACATGTCTAAATAGCTCTACTCGTTCCGACCCACTTCAAAATATTAAAATTTTAAATTTAATAACTGATTCGTTTTTGTCACTTTTGAAAACATAAACGTTTTGACCGTTTTGAAACAAAATGTTAATCCCAGATATTATGGTACTATAAAGTATTTTTAAGCATGATATTTAAAAAATATAGTATAATAATAAATTTTATTTAACCTTGTTGATCTTAAAAAAATTAAAATAAAACAAAATTAAAAAATATGTGTGTCTTTCGTTCAAAAGCCTGTGCTCATACTACCCCAGTTTTTTTTTTTTACCGATCTTCCTGAAATAGTTTTTCTTGTTTTCTCGAGTCTATTGGTATAAAAAAAAAATATAGTTTTTTGATGCTCTAGGTGGACAAGTGTCCCATAGGCTGAGGACCAGTTAATCCTCTTAAAAATGCCAATGGGTGTCTTTTTGGTCATTGAAGGAGGNATGTTTCATGTCAATCAATTTTAGGCGAGGAGCTTGATCATCTCCTCAAAAACAATGCATGAGATCAAGAAATTTGTGCAATGAAGTCAAACATGCTTACTATCGGCAATTGTTACTAGGAAGGAAAGTGATGTGTGCTTGCATAGCAGTAATTTTTGAAGACCATATTGGGTTATTAAGCTTCTCCCCAATGGAACACAACGGACNTAAGCTTTTATTCATTTAATCTTAAATTTGTTTGTAATGAAACGAATCACGAGCTAAACCCTGAGCAACTCAAAATCTTTTGTGCCACGTAACTTGATTCTAATTACTCAAACGTTGTTCGTTTATTACTACAATCTCATTCATTTTTATTTTCGAAACTTTAAAGAATAACTAAAAGGAAGGATAACGATTAGTTATTCGTCAAAAAAACAGTGTCTTGGAGCAAAGTGTTATCCTTTGATATTATTGAAGGGAATGAGCTCTTGCAATAGGCTCATGCACAACTGTTAAAACATATATGTGAGAAAAGATAAAAATCCAAGTTGCTATGGCAGCTATCTTATTTTGAACAGAACTTGCTTGTCTTCAAGACTAATCCACCGAGCATCATGCAACTAGGTATTCCAATTAAAAGTTTGACAGAGGCTACAATGTTGTTTTGCTTTGCTGTTCGAACATCATTGTCAGTTGCCTGCTCTGTTCTTCGATCCTCAACTGTATGTTTCGCTGAAGCTGACCCAAAAAAAAACAAAATCAGGAGCGTGNCTGTTCGATTTTCTCAATTAATAGCAACTAAAACTAAGCATAAAAGTCTATCATCTTTTTTAATGAATAACCGAAAAGTATGAACTGCGCGAAGTAAACTCCAAATCACTAAAAAAAAAGGGGGAAGAAGCAGATTACATGGATAACCAACACAGCAACATTGAATTCATGTGGCTGACCCAAAATTCTTTCTTATATGCTACAAGACTTGAAATGGAAGATTTCATGGATATGGTCAACAAATCCTATGCAGGCAAGTCTTTTAGTTATTCCTTGCATGGATAGGTATTAACAATGACATTTTGACAAATCCAAGGCCCAAAGCATTTAGAAAAATACAACCTTCTGACAGGTAAACTATTTTTTAATAGGGTTTTTCCATTCCATCAAGATAAATATGGATACCTCCTATGTGTACACAATCCTCTCCTAAAAACCCCTGCCCCTTCCTCACCCAAAAAGACAGCCGACAAAAAGTAAGGCCCTTTTTGGTTTGTATCTCAAAAACTGTTGTTATTTTGTTGTTTTTTCAGCTATTTTTTATTTTTATTTTTTGAAAACTGACATGGGTGGGTAGATTTAGAGAACAAGTGAGAACCATTTTATGTGTTTTTGGAAATAACCATTCTAGAATTTAGAAAACACCACCACCACCATTATACCTCTACCATCACATTTCTGTTTCATTCTTTTCTGGGTTATTGTCGCAACAAGTTTTACTATTTTCTATTATTTTTTTTAGAATCATATAACTAATCAAGTTATGCGAAATAAAAAACACAAAAACAGTTTTCTAAAATTCTTCCCAAAAATAGTTTTTGAATACTATTTTTTGAGACACAAACTAAACAAGCTTACATTCTGCGATAATGTGAAACTCAAACCAATAATTTAATGTGCAATGTAGATAATAGATAGTCGATGGGACAATGTGAAACGGAGGGCACAGTGTGGGGAGTCTAAATGTAGTTTACCCAAGTAAGAAATTAGAAGAATAATATTCAGATGACAAAGGATATGGGTTTTTTATATTATGATTCCTAAAGTTTTATTTTCCATCATNTGTACACAATCCTCTCCTAAAAACCCCTGCCCCTTCCTCACCCAAAAAGACAGCCAAAAATAAAAAATTAAAAAAAGAAAAAGATTTATAGTGAATTGACAAAGGATATGGGTTTTTTATATTATGATTCCTAAAGTTTTATTTTCCATCATCAGATAATTGGAGAATATGATTATGGGCATCTGTATCTTAATAATTTCATGTGGGATACTGGCATATATTCACAATTCCAACTGATGTTTAATTTATTAGCATTACAGATGGGAAAAAACAACTTAGTAGCATAATTAATTTAGATTAAATAGAAGTGCCTTTTCTATAACTGTCAACTTTCTTACCCACTGGTTGCCCCTAGGAAAGTGATGAGTATCTGAAAAAAAATACAAGAAAAAATGCCTATGAGAATTTATCTGAAAATAAAGAAGATTTGAAAACTTTAGAATTTGAAAAAAGTTTTTGAATAGAGAAGACTGATTTCACTTTCAAACATGCAGAAAATCAGGTCCTGTTTAGTTTGAATCTTAAAAACTGTGTTTCTATCTTTAGAAATAATTTATGGGAGAAAAACTGTTTGACTAGCTATTTTTTGAAAATTGAGAGCAAAAAATAGGTAGGTTTAAAGAATAAGTTAGGATTGATTTGTATGCATGTGGAAACAACATTTCTAGAATTTAAAAAACACTACCACCACCACCACTACAACACTCTCATTACCACCACATTTCTGTTTTTATTATTTTTTAGATTATTGTCCAAACAAGTTTTATTATTTTCTATTCCGTAAAACTGTTTTTAAGATTATATAACCAAACAAATTTTGCGATACAAAAAATATTAAAACACAGTTTTTTAAAACTCTTTCTAACAACAGTTTTGGGATACTATTTTTTAAGACGCAAACCAAACATGAAATTTCTCATAATATTGTGGGTGGTTTAAGACATAAAATATGTGTTCATACTGTTCCGCAATGTAATAGAACCAGAATAAAAAACTTGCTATATTTTATAACAAGTAACTCATCTTAACCCAACAAACATTCCCTCGGCCTCTTGGAGTTGGTCTACCATTTAATCCACTTACCGAATTCAAGTTGATCATATATCGCCTCCTTCTCATAAGAATACAATCAAACAATTCTCAATCATGTTCTTACGGATCGGATCATGCATATAATATTGATGAGACACTTTAGAAAGGTGTTAGATCAACGACGCTTGTCCTCGATCCCGAGAGATTTTCTTGTCTCTGTCGAGGGAACACGTGTCCTCGGCCCCAAGACCCCTTTCCTGACTGATATGTTCCTCGGCTATAAGGCTTGTTCCCTCGGCTCTGAGGTACCCCCCACAC